TGGTCGTGTGAGTCCTCCGGGGACTTCTGGAGGGCGGGGCCGGCGGGGGGACGGAGGTGGCGGCCGGGGCAGGCGTCAGCAGCCGTGTCCTTTTGCAGGGTCCTGGAATTCGCACGTGTGCACGTGGCTGTTCCTGTGGTGGGGGCGGGGGGAGGTCTGTGGCCCTGTTGGGGAGTTAGTCCTCCTGGGGCCCCTAGGTGTCAGGGAGGGTTAGGAGAGAGCCATCTACTACCCCACCGACTCTGGAGGTGATGAGGTGGAGGCAGGGTCTTCTAGGTTCCTCCAGTTATGAGGCTTTCCATGGGCGGCTTCTTCGCCTGGTTTTGGAGCCTCCAGGGTTAGGACCATGGGAAGGGGCAGGGATGCAAGGGCTTGGGTGGCAGCTGTCGCCCCAGGAGCTTCCCTGAGCCTTGGCCTGGCGGCTGACCCAGGCGCCGGCTGGTTCTTTATAATCACTGGGCGTCGTACTCAGGGCTGCACAACTCAGAAGCCTGGCATGTCCCTGCGCTCCCTTCCGGTCAAGTCACCCCACCCACGGCCAGTTTCTGTCCTGTCCAGCTGGGGGTCCTGCCCAGAGGTCTCTACCCCTGCACCCAGCTCGGCTGTGCCCTTCCTCCATTCCCATCCCATCAGGCAGGAGCTGGCGCCTTCAGTCCAGGGCGCAGCTTGTTGAAGCTGTTTAACCAGGAACGTTCAGAGTCCTCATGCCAGGGGTGTACAGGTGGAGGGAGGAAGTAGCACCGGACAACTGGGTGCTACTGAATGTGCTTTCCTTTGCTCATTCACTAAAGGCTGTTGAGTCCCTCCTAATTCCCCCTGGGAGGGCAACCCTGACTCACCTTACTGCCTCATGGAGGCCGAGCACTCAGCATCTCCTGAACTTTATCCCAAGGCTTTAAAGATCTCCTTTAATCTGGAATTGTTCCCAAGTCTTTCTTTGTAATTCGTCGACGTTTTTTGAAGAGCACGGCATTTTTTTAAAGCCATGTTTTAACCGAGGTCAAATTCACATAGCATATAATTCACCATTTTAAAATGTACAGTTCGGTGCTTTTTAGTACATATCATCACTATCTAATCACAGAATGTTTCAGTCACCCCCAAAATAATAAACCTGTGTCTGTCACCGGTCAGGCACAACTGTCCCTCACCCCCTTTCTCTGACAACCTCTAGTCTACTTTCTGTCTCTAGGGATTTGCCTACTCTGGACATTTCATTTAAGTGAAATTGTACATTTGGCCTTTTTCACTCTGACTTCTTTCACTCAGTATGTTCTCAAAGCTCATCCACGGTGGAGCACGTATCAGATCTTCATTCCGGTTAGTGGCTGAATAATACCCCCACTGTATGGATAGACCATTTACTGCTTATCCATTCATCGGTTGATGGAAATTGGATTATTTCTGTTTTTTGGCTATTATAATAATGCTGCTATGAATATTCATGTGCAAGTTTTTTGTGTGGTCATATGTTTTCATTTCTCTTGGTAGTTTCACTCCTAGGAGTGGAATTTCTGGGTCATGTGATAATCCATCTTAAACTGGTTGAGGAACTGCCAAACTGTTTTCCACAGTAGCTCCATCATTTTACATCCCCATCAGCAATGTACAAAGGTTCCATTTCCTCTACATCCTTGTCAACATAGGTTGTTTGTAGTTTTTTTTTTTTTTTAATTATAGCCATCCTACTGAGTGAGAAGTGGTATTTCAATGTGGCTTTGGTTTGCATTGCCCTAATAACTAATGATGTTGAGCATCTTATCATGTCCTTATTGGCTACTTGTGTGTCTTTTTTGGTGAAATGTATATTCTAATTCTTTTCCCATTTAAAAATTAAACCATAAATTGTTTAATAAAAACTTATTAAACAGTAAGTCTTTTTATTGTTAAATTGCAAAAGTTCTTTACATATTCTGGATACTAAACCCTTCTCAGATAAATGTTTTACAGATGTTTTCTCACATTCTGTGGGTTGTCTTTTCACTATTTTGACAGTGTCCTTTGATGTACACTTTTTAATTTTTTTTTTTTTTCAAGACAGAGTCTTGCTGTGTTGCCCAGGCTGGAGAGCAGTAGTGTGATCAGAGCTCACTGCAGCATCAAACTCCTGGGCACAAGGGATCTTCCTGCCTCAGCTTACCAAATAGCTAAGACTATAGGCATGTGCCACAATGCCTGGCTAGTATTTGTGGGGTTTTTTTGCTTTTTTGTTTTTTGTAGAAATGAGTTCTCGCTATGTTGCTCAGATTGGGAAGTTTTTAATTTTGTTGAAGTCCAATTTATTTCTCTCTTGCTGCTTGTATTACAGGATTCATACTCTTATTTTGGAGGATGACCTCAGTTTGGGTTTGTCAAAGGTTTCTTCCTGACTGGTTTCAGGCTGGGTACCTTTTCATCTAACCATCCCGACAACTCATGGTGGGAGGCACTGTTATCCCCATGTCATATCTGAGAAATTGGCCTGCCTGGGGTCATGTAGCCAGTATGTGACTGAGCTGGTTTTGGCCCAGGCTTGTCCAACTTTGGAGCTTCTGCTTTTCAGAGTGCTGGTCTTTGCTTCCTTAGAGCTCCTGCTTCTGGAGTTACAGGCAGCAGTGGGAGCTGTGACCACTGCCCAGGGGCTGGTGGGACAGGTGGAGCCCTGAGTCTGCCGCACTCCACTTCAGGAGTTGCTGTGATTCCTACTCCACCCCAGGCCTAGGGAAACTTCCCTGAAAGCAGCAGTGTGGCTGAGGCCTACCTGCTGGCCCCCTTCCTACAGATGGGTGTTCCTGGTGAAGAAGAGTTACCAAGACGTCGACACCTCCCTGCAGAGTGCTGTTGTCACCAAAGTCAAGGGTGTGGACTTCACTAACACCTCAGATCTCGGGGAGCGGCTCTGGGATGTCGCTGACTACGTCATCCCAGCCCAGGTCTGAGCCTCCACCAAGCACTGGCAGTGCCTGGCTTGGGTGGGTCACATGGGAAGCTGCTCGGGTACCTGGGAATTGCCATCCATTGTCTAGGGCAGCTGTCAGGACTTGCAGATAGTGACCCTGTCCAGATCCCACCTCCACGCCAAACCCCTGTCCTCTTCGACTGCTCTGCTCCCAATAATCTCTGAGTCTATTGAGACCACATGGGGCTTGAGAACTTTCAGAGCATCGAGAGTCAGGTGGCCTGGCACAGAGAAGACCCCTCCTATGCCCCTGCCCCTGGAAATAGCTCCCCAACCTGTTTGAAGTAGACTTGGACCAGGGCTGGGGCAGCCCCATCACTGCCCCTCCTTATTCCAGACATGCCCTTAGATCCAGGGACTGAGGTCAGCATAGTGCTTTGTGAGGCAGGGGCAGTGGGGGTTTGTGGGCCTGGAAGAGACACTTGCTCAGGGACTGCGCAGTGATGGAGCAGATGGGCGGAGTGTTGAGCAGATGTGGCCCCATCGTCCTCAACACCCATGCAGAGGTGTCGCCCCTTGCCAGACAGCCCTGGGAAGGAGGGTCTCCAAGTGGGCAAGAGGAGGTTCTCCAATGCCCCCTGGTTCTGCAGGGAGAGAACGTCTTCTTTGTGATCACCAACCTGATTGTGACCCCCAACCAGCGGCAGGACATCTGTGCTGAGGTTTGATTTGGCTCAGGGCACTGGGGTGGGTGTGGGGGAGCTGCCAGTAGGGGTTGGAGTCAGCCCTCTCCAGAAGCAGGGGCTTCTGCCCACTCCAAGGGTCTGGGGAGGCCATGTACACTGGTGTACATTTCCTGCATTGTTTGGGGAAAAGCAGGTTCTCAAAGGGTGTGCGGCCCCGGGCCAGGAAAGAACCCTGTTCTTTTCTTTTTTTGAGTCAGAATCTCACTCTGTTGTCCAGGCTGGAGTGCAGTGGCATGCTCACAGCCACCACAGCTTCGACCTGCTGGGCTCAGGTGATCCTTCCAACTCAGCCTTCCAAGTAGCTGGAACTACAAGTGTGCACCACCACATCTGGCTAATTTTTTGATTTATGGTAAAGATGAAGTATTGCCACATTGCCCAGGCTGGGCTTAACCCATGGGCTCAGGCAATTCTCTCACTTTCGCCTCTCAAAGTGCTGAGATTATAGGCGTGAACTACCACGCCCAGTTGAACCCCTGTTCTAACCCCTGCGGTGGGACCTAACTCTGAGCTCTGGGAAATACCCCCCATCCAGGTGCCCTTTCTCTCCTGGCAGAGTGAAAACATTCCCGATGGTGCGTGCTCTACGGACAGTGACTGCCACCCAGGGGATGCTGTCATAGCTGGAAATGGTGAGGCCCTGGAATGGCCAGGCCTGGTGGGGGGTGAAGGGGGACTTGGAGCTGAGTGGCTCCTGGCGTTGTTCCTGTCCCACCCCTGCAGGAGTGAAGACTGGCCGCTGCCTAAAGACAGAGAACCCAGCCAGGGGCACCTGTGAGATCTTTGCTTGGTGCCCACTGGAGACAAACTCCATGCCAACGTGAGCGGCTACAGCCCTGGGACTAGGAGTCTGTGCAGTGGGTCCCAGCTCGAGGACGGGACCCTCAGTTCATGCAGCGGGTCCCAACTTGAGAGCAGAGGCTGCCCGCTCTGGGGCCTCATTCTGAGAGAGAAGTCAGGACATCCCAGGGAGGTCTGAGGACCTCCCAGCACGAGCAAGTTATCTGTCCTTGGCAAAGGTTCCCAGAGGATCCCTGGAGAGGCCTCAGCCCTGCCACAGGCATGGGAAGGGGTGGGGTGGGGGGAGGACGGCAGCAGGACCTCTTGGACAGGCCATTCTGGACTGGTTTTCAGGGAGCCGTTCCTGAAGGGTGCCGAAGACTTCACCATTTACATAAAGAACTTCATTCGTTTCCCCAAATTCAACTTCTCCAAGTACGTGGGCTTGGCCCCTGGGGACCCGGGTTGAGGCCTTGGCTTGTGATTCAGACTCCCTGAGGGCCTTGGCAGGCCCTCCTCGTGGCTATGCATGATCCCATGTGCATGGCATGTTTTGAGCATGTTAGTGAGCAACTGAGTGACCAGGGGTGCCCTGTCCCCTTACTGTGGAGCCGGGTGTTAGCTGGGGGAAGTGGTCAGGACTTGGATTGGGTGAGAGACCCAGTGACTCTTGGGTCAGGCCCAGGAGCCCCAAGCCTCACCCTCATTTCATTGGCTATTCACGGCCTCCCCCCAGGAGCAATGTGAGGGACATCAAAGACACATCTTTTCTGAAATCCTGTCTCTTTGGCCCCAAGAACCACTACTGCCCCATCTTCCGAGTGGGCTCTGTGATCCGCTGGGCAGGGAGTGACTTCCGGGATATAGCTGTGCAGGTGAGTGACCTTCCCCAAGGGTCTGGGGGCTCTGGGCCTGGGCTCTGCAATGAGGAGAGGGGTGTGGAAGGGGACTTGTGGGGTAGGGGTGGCCCTGAAAAGCCACTTGCCCCCAGGGACTCACTGTTTTGGAATTAGCTGTGACACCCAACTGGACTGTGGCAGTACTTGGAAGGGTGAAGGGTGGAGGTGGCGCCTGCTGGGTAGCTCTTAGTCTCTGGGGCATCAGCTGAAAGAGGGAGAAGTGTGCGCTACCACACCTGGCTAATTTGAGCCAAAAGGAGCCCCACACACAGCCTGGCGTGCATGTGAGGTGCCTGCCCACAGAAGATGCATACTCTGGGTAGTCCCCTTCTCTCTGAAGAACACAGGAAGGTGAAATTGGGGCCAGGGCGGTGTTATTCACAGCCACCCCAGGCATGGAGCGCGAGCCTCTGGGAGGGGTGGTCCAGTGGGATGACCTCTCGCCTGAGCGCCTCCTGGTCTTGTCCAGCTCTCGGGAAGGGCTGGCCTGAGGCTCTGTCCATCTCCAGAAAGCTCTGTGTGCTGACCCTTGTCTCTCTTTCATCAAGGGTGGTGTGATAGGAATTCAGATAGAGTGGAACTGTGATTTGGATAAAGCTGCCTCTGAATGCAACCCTCACTATTCTTTCAGCCGTCTGGACAACAAGCTTTCAAATTCTGTCTCCGGGTACAACTTCAGGTATCTTCTGCCTTGTGACTCTGACCATGATTCATGACCTTCCCTGGGTGCTAGCACTATGACACCTCTTCCTGGGGGTGGGCATCAGAGCAGGCAATGCCAGGAGAGGTGATTGAGGAGAGCTGTGGAGCCCAACTGAGTGGCCAGGACCAGCAGTCAGTGGGGGGGGG